ACTGTGCTGCCTAGCCTGGTCTTAAACTCCTGGGCTCAAGTGATCCCCCTGCCTTGGCCTCCCAAACTGGTGAGATTACAGGCATGAGCCACCACATCTGGCCTGAAATTCTGAAGGGATGAAAGTGTCGACAGAGCACGTTGGCATCATTGTGGCTAACCTGGGAGGCGGAAGAAGCATGCCATGGGCAGTGTTGACAAGTATTGTGGAGCTCAGAGTCCCCTGAGGTAGATGGCTACTTTGCCTTTCTTCTTGAACTATCTTGCAGAATGTGGATTTGGGGTGAGTGGTCTTGGAGGACTCATTTAGTCACCCTCAAATTAAGATTTTTACTTCATCTTTCTTCGGCCTACACCTCCAAGATAAGAAATAATGGTCGTGCCAAAGAGGTTCGCAACTAGGTGTGCGCTGTTCACTGCAGCCTATTTGTTGCATGAAATGTGGTCATCGTGTGCCCAATGACTAGGCTATTAAGAAGGTCATCATTTGAAACGTAGAGGCCGCGGCAGTCAGCCATGGTTCTGAAGTGAGCATCCTCGAAGCCTGTGTACTTCCCAGGCTGGATGTGAAGCTACATTACTGTGAGTTGTGCCACTCGCAGCACGGTAGTCAGGAATCGAGCTCATGAAGCCCATCAGGACCGAACACCTCACCCCAGTGTAGACCTGCAGGTGCTGCCCCGCACCCCCACCAAAACCCGTATAAGGAGCGGAGTTGTTAAGGACTGAAGAAAAACTATTCTCTGGAGAAAAATAAAATTGCAATTAAAAATTTTTTTTTTTTTAATTTCATAGGCCAGGCGTGAAGTTCTGCACACTTTGAAGTCTGTAATTATGAGTGATCCAGTCTAAGCCTCTGGCTTGCTACTTAGCAATAGGTGCTTTATGATGGGCTGATTTGGAAGGAGGGAGTCAGCCACTCTTGAGCCACTGCAGTGAAGTCACCTGATCTCACCCTGGGGGAAAACACTTTAATAGCTAAACATTCTAGCTTTGATTTTTCTGAGGGGAATACACCTGTTTTCAATTTTGGGGTTTTTCCTTGGGGCACTTGCTTGACTCTGTATGAACTTGTGATCCAAAGAAAAAGGAGAAAGAACAATGTTGGCTTTTAAAGTCAGGATGGTTTTATGTTTGCTATGAAATAAGGCAAAAATAAAAAAATTCTTATTTTTATTTTTATTTATTTATTTTTTTGAGATAGAGTCTGGCTCTGTTGCCCAGGATGGAGTGCAGTGGTACAATCTTGGCTCACTGCAACCTCTGCCTCCCAGGTTCAAGTGATTCTCCTGCCTCAGCCTCCCGAGTAGCTGGGACTACAGGCACCTGCCACCATGCCCGGCTAACTTTTTGTGTTTTTAGTAGAGACAGGGTTTCACCATGTTTGCCAGGCTAGTCTTGAACTCCTGACAAGTGATCCTCCCGCCTCAGCCTCCCAAAGTGCTGGGATTACAGGCATGAACCACCGCGCCTGGCCAATCTTTTTATCCTTGAACAACTTCCCTTCTTTGAGCCTCATTGGTGTTCTCAATTATGAAATATGGATAATAATAGTATCTGCCCCATGGATATTTTGAGAAGGTTGAAAAACAAGAGCCTAGAAATGTCTGACATATAGTATGTTCCAGTAAATGTTCACTATTAGCTTCTCAGGCAGGTGAGCTAGTATAGATAGATGATTAAGTCAGCTTGCTTCATAGAAATTAGTGCAAGAATTTCGTAGCCTACCAACTGACAGTATCAAACTTAGAAAATAAATGAAATTGGGCCAGGTGTGGTGGTTCACGCCTGTAATCCAAGCACTTTCAGAGGCTGAGGCAGGCGGATCACCTGAGGTTGAGAGTTTGAGACCAGCCTGACCAACATGGAGAAGCCCTGTCTCTACTAAAGATACAAAATTAGCGGGGCATGGTGGCGCATGCCTGTAATCTCAGCTACTCTGGAGGCTGAGGCAGGAGAATTGCTTGAACCTGGCAGGCAGCGGTTGTGGTGAGCCAAGATTGCGCCATTGTACTCCAGCCTGGGCAACAAGAGCAAAACTTTGTCTCCAAAAAAAAAAAAAAGGCCGGGCGTGGTGGCTCACGCCTGTGATCCCAGCACTTTGGGAGGCCGAAGCGGGTGGATCATGAGGTCAGGAGATCGAGACCATCCTGGCCAACACGGTGAAACCCTGTCTCTACTACAAATACAAAAATTAGCCAGGCGTGGTGGCGGGCACCTGTAATCCCAGCTACTTGGGAAGCTGAGGCAGGAGAATCGCTTGAACCTGGGAGGCGGAGATTGCAGTGAGCCAAGATCACACCACTGCACTGCAGCCTGGGCAGCAAGAGCGAGATTCTATCTTGAAAAAAATTAAAAATAATAAAAAGCAGCTCATACTAGGGAATTATTTGGTAAAGCAACCTCATGCTGTTATAGATTAAAAGCCTGGTCAGCTATTCTGCTAGACAGTCAAATATTGTCTGCAGGGCTGGACAGCATATTGCTATTGAAAATAGCTACTAGGAGACCTTGTGCAATCTGTGAAACATTGTTAGGCTCGTACTATGTAAAAATCAGGAAAATTTGGGAACATACTGATACAACAAAAGATGGGTTGTCAAACCCTCACTTCACCAGAAAGCTAAATTAACCAGGTAAGTCTTTCTGAAAGTTTTAGTGTCTTAGTTTGTTCCTGTGCTGTAACAGAATACCTTAGACTGGGTAACCTATAAATAACAGGAATTTATTTCTCACAGTTCTGGAGGCTGGCAAGTGCAAGATCCAGGTGCTGGTACGTTCAGTGTCTGGCACGGGCGGCTTTCTGGTCCAAGATGGTGCCTTTTTTCGGCATCTTCCGTAGGAAATGAACACTGTCCTTATGGATAGAAGGGTTGGAAGGACCAGACTTTTTTTTTTTTTTTTTTTTTTTTGATACAGCAGGGTCTTGCTCTGTCGCCCAGGCTGGAGTGCAGTGGCATGATTAAGGTTCACTGCAGCCTCCACCTCCCGGGCTCCAGGGACCCTCCCACCTCAGCCTCTTGGATAGCTGGTACCACAGGCACGAGCTACCATGCCTGGCTGATTTTTTTATTTTCTGTAGAGATGGGGTTTCACCATGTTGCCCAGGCTGGTCTTGAATTCTTGACCTCAAGCAGTCCACCTGTTTCCACCTCCCAAATGCTGAGATTACAGGCATGAGTCGCTGTGTCTGACCTGCAGCCTCTTTTATGCGTGCATTAATCCCCTTCATGAGGGATGTTCTCTCATTAATTAATCACCTGCTACAGACCCCACCTCTTAATACTACATCAGTGATGGGTTCAATGTATGAATTGGGTGGGAGGGGGCACATTCAGACCATAGCATCTAGTCATTCTGGTTTTATTAAAATTTGTTAGACTTGAGGCATGAAAAAGAACATGCTAGATGGGACTTCAGCATCGATGAGCTGCCTTAGTAATACTGTAATAAAAGGCACTAAATATGCCAGTGGTGTGAGAGAATATTTTTACGGAAAATTTTATACTTACAGAAAATTTAGAAAGACTAGTACATTGATACCTGTGTGTTCACCACCTTGATGTAACGGATAACATGCTATTTGCTTTATCTGTATTTCATTGCTAGGAATCATTTGAAAGCAGTCAACATGATACTTCATTCTGAAATAAGTATGCATTTCGAAAATACAGTTTCCTGTATAACGGGCACTATAGCACTTAGGAACATTGACAAGTATTTCATGCTATTGAATATCTGGTTCATATTGAAGTTTTCCTTGGGGAGAGTTCTGGGTCAAAGGTCAGTCCCAGTAGTGGTGTAGTTTAGTTGTCCTTGGGTCTAACCTAACAATTGCGGTGAAAAATATTAAGGAAATATCTGTGGTTACAGCTCTCGGGTTTCTGGAAAAATCTTTGACTCAATCAAAGTACCTATTTACAACTCCTGGATGGAAGATGGAACTAGAGAGACTGCAGGTCCTGGGTAGATTCTGATCAGTATTTGTACCTACACCTGGCTCTCCTGTCTTCGTCAGTGGAAGAGCAGTTTGGAACTAAGCAAGGAGAATGCACATTCGATGACAGCAGAGTGGGGGCACATCTGCTCGAGTCCATCAGACGTGGAGCAGGTTCAGAGCAGCCGTGTGAGCCTCCCTTCCATTGTGTGGCGCTGCGTACTTACCAGCAAATGTTTAGTGAGCCCCCATTTTGAGTCGCGTAAATGTGGAGCTACAAGGAGAAACAAGAATACCTGAAATTAAATAATTTGAGGAGAGAACTTCATGGGATAGGGGTGAGGGAAACAGCCTAGGAGACAACGGGGAATTTTGAAAGATTGACAAGCCAAAGCTGTCAGACAACTTCCTTTGAGATGGGCACATTCCATACCTGAACTGTCCAGCGTACTAGCCACTGACTGCATGGAGCTTCTGCATATGGTAGGCTAATGACTTAGGAGCTGGATTTTAAGTTTAAATTTTATTTTTCAGACAGTCTCCCTCGGTCAACCAGGCTGGAGTGCAGTGGCACAATCCCGGCTCACTGCAACCTCCACCTCCAAGGTTCAAACGATTCTCCTGCCTCAGCCTCCTGAGTAGCTGGGATTATAGGCACCCGCTACCACACTCAGCTAATTTTTGTATTTTTTTTTAGTAGAGACAGGGTTTCACCATGTTAGCCAGGCTGGTCTTGAACTCCTCACCTCAGGTGATCTGCCTGCCTTGGCCTCCCAAAGTACTGGGATTGTAGGTGTGAGCCACCACGCCCGGCCATAAGTTTAAAATTCTCAGTCACATGTGGTGGGTGGCTAATGTATTGGACAGTGCAGCTCTTAGCTACCGACAATGCCCTGCAGGGCACTGAGATCAAAGAGAATCTCAGCAAGATGAACAATGCCCACAAGAGCAGCAGCAGCAACAGGAACGTTATCAGATTTAATAACAATTTAGATCCCCCAAATTCTGAGATCTAAAGATGCATGTTACTTTCACTGCATCCTGTGTTTCAATGTACCCTAAATTCTGGTTTTAGAAGTCTGCCTCTTTGGCCAAGGCGGCTCCGGACGAGGCCCCCAACAACAGCGCCCTGAGGTGGCAGCGGTGGTGCCTGCGGGGACCACCAGCAGCCGCGGGCTGAGGAGAGGTCGGGATCCAGGCAGGGCCGCTGTATCCCACCAGAGGAAGGCCAAGTATCCCTGTGGGGGAGGAGCAGTCCCCATGCCAGGCCTCCCGATGTCCCCAGGTCTCAAAATCCCCATCTCCCGTTCAGGGCAAGAAGAGTCCGCAACTCCTATGCCAACAACTGATAAAGATCCCAAAGAAGAAAAAGAGGCAGATGATTGTGCCCTGTCTCAGGAAGTTTACATTGCTGCATCCAGACCTAGCCGGGGGTGGCGCAGTAGGAGCAGGACATGTGTTTCTCCTCATGGGATACAGAGAACATCTGAAGCTCTCAGTGCAAGACCGGTTCATTGCAGCTCATCTGCAAATCAGAACCAAATACAGACCAACTCGATTATGATGTTCGAGAAGCGTCCGTCTCCAGGTGGCACTAGCAAGGAGGAAGAAGAAGAGATATTAATCAGTGAAGAGGAGATGCCATTCGAAGATGACCCAAGAGATGAGACCTACAAACCCCTCTTAGAAAGGGAGACCCCAAAGCCACTCGAAAATCAGGGAAGGTGAAAGGAGAGAAGGAGAAGAAGGAAATTAAAGTGGAAGTAGAGGTAGAGGTAAAAGAAGAGGAGAATGAAATTAGGGAGGATGAGGAACCTCTGAGGAAGAGAGAAAGAAGATGGAAAGATGACAAAAGTCCACATTTACCCAGAAGGAGGAAAAAAGCCTCCAACCCAGTATGTCCATTGTGAGATGGAAGGATGTGGAACTGTCCTTGCCCATCCTGGCTATTGGCAGCACCATGTTAAATAGCATTTGTTGAAAAAAAATATGTATGTCTCCATCCCTCCTGTGGACGACTCTGTAGGCTCCGGAAGCGACTTCTATGACATGCCAAACATCATCCAGATCAAAGGGATTTTATATCTGTGAATACTGTGCTCCGGCCTCCGAGAGTTCCCACAGTCTGGTAGTGCACCAGATGATTCACATTGGCGAGAAGCCATTATCACAGTGTGAGATCTGTAAATTGACTTCTCGACAAAAGGCATCTCTTAATTGGTACATAAAGAAGCATGAGGCCGGGTGCCGTGGCTCATGCCTATAATCCCAGCACTTTGGGAGGTCAAGGCGGGTGGATCACCTGAGGTCAGTTGGAGACCACCCTGGCCAACACGGTGCAACCCCGTCTGTACTAAAAATACAAAAATTAGCCGGGCGTGGTGGTCCATGCCTGTAGTCCCAGCTACTCTGGGGGCTGAGATGGGAGAATTGCTTGAACCCACGAGGCAGAGGTTGCAGTGAGCCGGGATCGTGCCACTGCACTTCAGCCTGGGTGACAGAGTGAGACTGTGTCTCAAAAAGATACATAATTACAGCCGGGCACAGTGGCTCATGCCTGTAATCCCAGCACTTTGGGAGGCTGAGGTGGGCAGATCATGAGGTCAGGAGATGGAGACCATCCTGGCTAATATGGTGAAACCCTCTCTCTACTAAAAATACAAAAAATTAGCCGGGCATGGTGGTAGGTGCCTGTAGTCCCAGCTACTGGGGAGGCTGAGGCAGGAGAATGGTATGAACCCGGGAGGCGGAGCTTGCAGTGAGCCGAGATCATGTTACTGCACAGCACTCTGTCCCAAAGTGCTGGTAGGAGCCACTGCGCCCAGCTGATAACCTGTTTTCTAATTAATTGTGCCTTTTCAGTGGGCATAGAACCTGTGTGTTGAATTTCAGTCTGGGTGCCATGGCTCATGTCTATAATTCCAGCACTTTCAGAGGCTAAGGCAGGAGTATTGCTTGAGCCTAGGAGTTATGAGACCAGCCTGGGAAGCATAGCAAGACCCCGTCTGATTAAAAAACAAAAAGAACGAAAGGAAGACAGAAGAAGGAAACCCAACATGTTCACCTTTTAGGTTTCCAATATTTATATTTTGTAATGCTACTAACAAGGGCCCTACACAGGGATACTTCCAGATTCACAGACTGATGTCTTCGTAAATTCAGACCCACTTCTGTTTCCCAAGTCATATAAACACCCTGAGACCACGCATGTCCCAAATGCGTTCTCCTTATTAATACAGTTTAACACATCTTCATATTCAAAGGGAACTGGAAGTTATCAGATATTTGAAAACCAATACTTTTTAAACTCAGCAGTGACAGAAGAAATAAACGATGGAAAGACTTGATCATGTAAACATTTAAAACTTCAAAGTCACTTTTCTTTTGGAGATGGTCTTGCTCTGTTGTCCAGGCTGGTCTTGAACTTGTGGGAAACCACCCATTTCGATCTCCCAAAGTCCTGGGATTACAGGCAGGAGCCACTGCATGCGACCAAAATCACTAACATTTTAGGAAGTCAATAGACTGTCTAAAGATTTGATAAGATGTATAGCAGAAAACACAGACAAGGGTGAAGATATTTATTTGTGGCTGGGCGCAGTGGCTCATCCCTGTAATCCCAGCACTTTGGGAGGCCAAGGCGGGCGGATCACCCTGAGGTCAGGAGTTCGAGACCAGCCTGGCCAATATGGCAAAACCTGGTCTGTACTGAAAAATACACAACTTAGCCAGGCGTGTGGTGGGCACCTGTAATCCCAACTACTTGGAAGGCTGAGGCATAAGAATTGCTTGAACCCGGGAGGTGGAGGTTACAGTGAGCCACTGTACTCCAGCCTGGGCGACAGAGAGAGACTCCATCTCCCCCCTCAAAAAAAAAATTAAAAAAATAAAAAAAATAAAAAAGATGTGGGCCAGGTGCATTGGCTCACGTCTGTAATCCCAGCACTTTGGGAGGCCAAGATGGGAAGATCATGATGTCAGGAGTTCGAGACCAGCCTGGCCAACATAGTGAACCCCGTCTGTACTAAAAATACAAAAAATTAGCTGGGCATGGTGGCCATGCCTATAATCCCAGCTACTTGGGAGGCTGAGGCAGGAAGGCAGAGGTTGCAGTGAGCCGAGATCACGCCATTGCACTCCAGCCCGGGCGACAGTGCAAAACTCCTTAAAAAAATAAAAGATGTGTATATCAAGACCTCAGCTGGGCACCGTCGTTTATGCCTGTAATCCCAGCACTTCAGGAGGCCAAGGCAGGAGGATTGCTTGTGGCCAGGAGTTCAAGACCAGCCTGAGCAACATAGTAAGACCCCATCTCTACACACACACACACAGAGAAAACTTAGCCAGGCGGAGTGGTGCATGCTTTTGGTCCCGACTACTTGGGAGGCTGCGGTGGGAGGATTCTTGAGCCCCGAAAGTCAGCGCTACAGTGAGCTATGATTGCACCACTGCATTCCAGTCTGGGTGACAGAGCAAGACCCTGTCTCCAAAAAAAACAAAATCAAGAGCTCAATTTTTTTTTTTTTTTTGAGATGGAGTCTTGCTCTGTCGTCAGGTTGGAGTGCAGTGGCACGATCTCGGCTCACCGCAACCTCCAACTCCCGGGTTCAAGCGATTCTCCTGCCTCGGCCTCCCAAGTGACTGAGACTACAGGTGCCCACCACCACACCCAATCAATTGTTGTATTTTTAGTAGAGATGGGGTTTCACCATGCTGCGCAGGCCAGTCTTGAACTCTGGGGCTCAAATGGTCTGTTCTACTCAGCCTCCCAAAGTGCTGGGATTACAAGTGTGAGCCACCATGGCTGGCATTTATTTATTTATTTATTTTGAGATGGAATCTCGCCTTGTCGCCTGGGGTGGAGCGCAGTGGAACGATCTCGGCTCATTACAACCTCTGCCTCCTGTGTTCAAGTGATTCTCCTGCCTCAGCATCCCGATTAGCTGGGATTACAGGTGTGAGCCACCACGCCTGGCTAATTTTTTTGCATTTTTGGTAGATACGGGGTTTCACCATGTTGGCCTGGCTGGTCTTGAAGTCCTGGCCTGAAGTGATTCGCCCACCTCAGCGTCCCAAAATGCTGGGATTACAGGTGTGAGCCTCTGTGCCAGGCAAGAACTATTTATATTCTTTTTTTTTTTTAAGCTATATCTGCTGGAATGGGATTTATTTTTATTTTTTTTGAGACAGGGTCTTGAAAGTTACATTATAGACAGAAATAGAACTCAGTAATATATAAAAAGTGACATGCATGTTTATATATCAGAATCTGGGGGGATGCAATTGTTTTGACTCCAGCGTCTCCAGCTCAGGCTGGAGTGTAGTGTGTGATTGTTGCTCACTGCAGCCTCGAACTCTTGGGCTCAGGTGATCCTCCCACCTCAGCTTCCCAAGTAGCCGTGACTACAGGCACGCACCACCATGCCTACTATTTTTTGTTTTTGTTTTTTGTAAAGACAGGGTTTCCCTATGTTACCCAGTATGGTCTCAAACTCCTTAGCTCAAGTGATCTTCCCGCCTCAGCCTCCCAAAGCGCTGGGATAACAGGTATGAGCCACTGCACTGGGCTCATGAGCAACTTCTTTGTGTCAGGTGCTGTTGTATACACATGGGGATATAATAAGACAGGATGCCAGCTCTCAGAGTCTACAGCCTCAGTGTTGCACGATATATATATAAAGAAAATGTGCTGTTTCCATGGTTTCCTGTGTTAACTGTTTTCCTTTTCCAATTTCCAGTACAGTGTTATTTATTCCTTTGCCATTTTCTTTTTTTTCCGAGACAGAGTGTCTCTCTGTCACCCAGCCTGGAATGCAGTGGCAGGATCTATGCTCATTGCAACCTCTGCCTCCCAAGTTCAAGTGATTCTCCTGCCCCCCCGGGTAGCTGGGATTACAGGTGCCCACCACCATGCCCAGCTAAGTTTTGTACTTTTAGTAGAGATGAGGTTTCACTATGTTGGCCAGGCTGGTCTCGAACTCCTGACCTCAGGTGATCTGCCCACCTTGGCCTCCCAAAGTGCTGGGATTACAGATTACAGGCATGAACCACTGCCCCCAGCCACCATTTTCTTTCTTATACGATTTTGGAAATTTTATGCCTTCTATATATATATATATATATATATATATATATATATATATTTTTTTTTTTAACCAGGTATTGTTAAATTTTTAACACTTTTTTTTTTTTTTTTTGGTAGACAGGGTCTTACTCTGTTGCCCAGGCTGGAGTGCAGTGGCAAGATCTCAGCTCATTGCAACCTCCACCCCTGGGGCTCAGGCGATCCTCCTGCCTCAGCCTCCTGAGTAGCTGGGACCACAGGTGCACACAACCATACCTGGCTAACTTTTTTGTATTTTTTGTAGAGATGTGGTTTTGCCATGTTGCCCGGGCTGGTCTCAAATTCCTGACCTCAAGTGATCTACCCGCCTCAGCCTCCCAAAGTGTTGGGATTACAGGTGTGAGCCTCGACTCCCAGCCACCATTGTCTTTTGACCTCTATTGTTGCTGATAAGAAATCTGAGTCTAGGGCCTGGTGCGGTGGCTCACACCTGTAATCCCAGCACTTTGGGAGGCCGAGGTGGGCAGATCACGAGGTCAGGAGTTGGAGATCAGCCTGACCAACATGGTGAAACCCCATCTCTACTGAAAATACAAAAATTAGCTGGGCATGGTGGTGGACGCCTGTAATTCCAGCTACTCAGGAGGCTGAGGCATGAGAATCTCTTGAACCCAGGAGGCGGAGGTTGCAGTGAGCTGAGATCGTGCCATTGCACTCCAGCCTGGGTGACAGAGTGAGATTCCTTCTCAAAAAAAAAGAAAAAAGAAAAAGAAATCTGACAGTCTCAATATTATTCCTTCACAGATAATCTGTTGTTTCTAGTTGCTTTTATGGTTTTGTCCTTGTTTTTTGTGTTTTACAACCTCAATACAAGATGTCTGGGTATGGCTTTACTTTTGTTTCTCCTGTTGGAGTGTTACTCCTATTGGTGTGTTTATCCTGTTGGAGTGTTACCGTGCTGCTTCCATCTGTGGATTCATGGCTTACACTTTGGGACAGTTCTTAGTCACTGTCATATTAACTGCAGCAATTTTTTCACTCTCCCTCTTCTCTCCTTTTTCTTTGAGACGAAGTCTTGCTCTGTCACCCAGGCTGGAGTACAGTGGCTTGATCTCGGCTCACTGCAACCCCTGCCTCCTGGGTTCAAGTGATTCTCCTGCCTCAGCCTCCTGAGTAGCTGGGATTACAGGCGCTTACCACCATAGCTGGCTAATTTTTGCATTTTTAGTAGAGATGGGGTTTCACCA